TCATCGCGTGTTGCTGCGATTACTAATACATTTAACTGTCACTTTATGCGATTTATGGATGTTGGTTTTTTCTTCTTTCGTGCATCGCACCGTTTCAAATAAGCGATTGATAATCGTGGGAATTGGGTGGTGTGTATCGCTACGTACCAGTAAGTACTGCCATTTTTTTCAAGTAAACGTACGGTACTGAAAGCGTTATTAAATGAGAAATATTAGCCGCAAAGGATTGCGTAAAAGTATTCAATAGTTCAAGGCATATTTTCAACAAAAATATCAGACAAACGTAAACAATTCGATGAATCAGTTGTGGTGGTCGTACGCCCGTATCGCGGCTGCGTCGCAGCGTTGCCAAATGTTTGAGAAATTTAATCTTTTGCTACTCACTTCTCTTGAATACGATTGATTTTCGGACATAAGTTAAACGAACTTTTTTGCTTAGAATAATGCAAGGAATCACTTCTTAAAGTTACGGATATTATTTCCCTAACACCCTGATTAAGTAAAGATATATTTTTCATGCTTAATACGTAGCTGCAAAAGCACTGTCGGCAATGACGTGACGTGATACGAATCGTAAACAAAGAAACATCATCCGTATGTCACTCGTAGACCAACGTTGTATCCTCTAAATATGCTTAAAAAGCTCCCAATCAACGTAAAACGTTTTATGGAAAAAAACAATAATGGACATTGGATTCGTAAGAGCAGAAAGCACAACTTTTCCGAAAATTGATACTCTGATGGTTTATGAACAAAGACTTCTACGTAAAAATATATACAATGATAGGCATAAAAAGAAAGAATAAGTGATACTCCTACGTAACTTTCCTTTTCAAAAGTCATTCAAAATTAAGCTCATGAGTAATAACCTATAAATAGTTTTATTGTATTTCTTCTTACACATTGGCAAGAAAATCGTACGGTGATGATGCCGTAGGTAACCTCCAATTTAACGGGACGATAAAATCTGCACAGTAAAATGTAAAATATGTTACGAACATAAAGTATGCCCCAAAAGCAATAGACAGTGTAGTGTATATTTATTTCCCTGGGCGCTCTAATCCACAGCTTTCCTGGAGTCTTTATCGTGTGCTTTTACATTCTCGGACGACACAATAACGATGTCTACTATATTTTTCTTGTTAACTAGTAGGCTTCATGTTATATGTACAAAAGTTTGAGAGATTATGCTGTCGTCAGTTGCTGTTTACAAACAGTGTGACATCAGAGCACTACAGTCCTTTTATATATTCTTTTTATCTAAGTGGCATATAAATCCGAACACCCAGTTTAAAATGGTTTTATTTAATAAAAGTTGGTGAATGTATTTATCGTACTGTAAATAACAAGTGAAAAAATTTTCAGCCTTATCAGCTGGACATTCCGGTTTTTATACTGCTTTTTTTTAATTCACTAACGCTCTAAAAATGAATATTTCAGCCGCAGTAAAGAATCAATGTTGGCCGATTTTGGTTCTTGACATCCTTTACGATCAGTTACGATGCCTAGACTACGGAGACCTGTACGATTTCTTCAACTTAGTGAGTTTGATAGGGGCCGTATAGTGGGACTTCGGGAAGCTGGACTTTCTTTTCGGGCAATTGCAGTTAGAGTGCAAAGAAGTGTAGACACTGTGGTAAGGTGTTGTCAGGCATGGCTTCGAGAAGGCCGTACGCAAAGAGCAAGGGGCACTGGACGCCGCCGTAGAACAACAGACCGTGAAGATCGCCGCCTAAGATTATTGGCCTTAAGGGACCTTTTCTCCACTACCAGGTCTATTGCAAATGAATGGTTTGCAGAACACGGAAGACCTATTGGCATGCGAAGTGTTTACCGACGAATGAGAAGTTTTGGCTTGTTTTCATACCGGCCACGCTGGGTCCTCCCTTTAACTCGAGAACACCGACGTAATCGCCTTGAGTGGCGCAGACAACGGTCACTCTGGGATCAGGAATGGAACAGTATTGTCTTTAGTGACGAGTCTCGATTTTGTTTAGGCATGCACGATGGTCGTGCCAGGGTTAGAAGGCGACGTGGTGAAAGGAGGAATCCACAGTTTTTGTTGAAAGACATGTTCATCACACTATTGGAGTTATGGTTTGGGGTGCTATAGCTTATGGTTCCAGGTCACCTTTAATCTTCATCAGAGGTAACATGAACGCGCAGCGTTATATCCACGAAGTTCTAGAACCCCATCTTTTACCCTATCTTGACACCCTGGCAGATCCAACTTTCCAACAAGATAATGCCCGACCACATGTTGCAAGAGTGACAATAGACTTCTTTCAACATAATGATGTCACATTGTTACCATGGCCACCAAGATCTCCCGACTTATCCCCAATTGAGCACGTGTGGGATATGATGTGTAGGAGATTGCTCAATTTGCAACGTCCTCCTCAGACTCTAGAAGCACTTCGAGAGGAGTTGGTGGTTGCCTGGAATGAGATACCACAGGAGGACATTGAGAGAGTGCATCCACACATTATTAAAGGTCAAAGGGCTTTAGAGCAGTGCAATCATTTGAAATTTTATCATTTACTTATTATGCTTCATTAAGTACTTATACAACATTTTATTAAAATAAAACCATTTAAACTGGGTGTTCGGATTTATATGTCACTTAGTATAGAACAAATATTAAGTAATTAAGACCTACTTAAAAAAAGTGTCAACTAGCCTATTAGAATCACGGCCAATGGAACTGGCTCATTCTGATAAGCATGTCAAACGACATTCAAAATACATAAAATAAACTCTTTCCTGTAATAGGTTCAGCGTTGTAGGATTAAAAATCTTCTCAGCTAGGAAAATACTAAGCGAAACCGGTGCATAAGAATACTTTTCTTAAAGTTGAACTTAACAAAGTTAATCTTTAGCTGAAACGGGCTTAGAAGTCTCAGGATGTAGGCGCGCTCGCTCAATAAAACATATTTCTCAACTTAGGTACGTAATATAGGATTTAATGTATCGATAATTCATAGCATAGATTAGCTGGAAGATCATTGAGGGAACCAACGCTGCCGCTTGATTTATTTGGACAGTATCAACGTGGAATATCGAATTTTCTCGTTGCCCGCCCTACCAGCGGAATACATCACTACTGACACGAAAAACGCCATTCCTAATAGACATATCCTCGGATAGAGCTTTTATCTAAATGAATTTGCCGTGCATTACTTGGAAAGCAACTTAATCGCATTCTAAAAAAGTAAACATGTTTGTTACCGAGGCACGCTTACAGGCTGAAATAGTTATTTACCTAACAAGTGCGCAAAGTGATACTTTTCTGCCGAAATTTAAATACGTACTATGTTGTATTGGAAGCTATGCGTGCGGAAAAGAGCTACTTTCTGCACGCAGATGCGTGTTGAAAGTGACTACTTCTCGTCCTCTGCTATAAAAAACATATTTTCCGAATTGTCAAGACATATTCGGCTCTTTACAATCTGCAAAGTTAGTAGGGAACCAAAGTGTGCACTCTTACCGGGAATTTCGAGGCTGGCTGTCACAGAAACTAATAGGCTCGCGGTTTTTGGGACAGTTCCGCTGTGAAAATCAAATTAAAATAGACTGCTGTGGGGTTAATTCTGATTCTGATTTTTTGCTAGTATCTTTTTGGCAACACTGTTTTTGACAGATGACGCGTGAATCGTGTCTTGTGTCATTGTCAAACTTGTTCAGTTTGGTCTATAATTTAACCATGAATCGACTTACAGACGAACAACGCTTGCAAATTATGAATTTTACTATCAAAATTTATGCTCGGTTAAGAGAGTGCATCGAGCACTGCTTCCATTTATGGACAAACTGGTCGGCCTACTGAGGGAGCTATTCGGAAGCTTGTGACTAAATTTCGAACCCAGTTTACATTACTGGACATTAAACCACCAACACGCAGACGTACAGTGAGGACTGAAGAAAATATTGCCGCTGTATCGCCAGTGTTAGTGATGACCGTGAAATGTCGATTCGCCGCCGTTCGCAGCAATTGGGCCTTACTACTACTACTACATGGAAAATTTTATACAGCTGGTGCAAGAATTGAAGCCACACTACCTTCCACAACGTTTCAATTTGGTGAATGGGCGCTGGCAAAGTTGGAGGAAGATCCACATTTTTATCGAAAAATTGTGTTCAGCGACGAAGCTCATTTCTTGTTGAATGGGTACGTTACCAAGCAAAATTGCCACATCTGGAGTGAAGAACAGCGAGAAACATTGCAAGAGCTACCAATGCATCCCGAAAAAATCACTGTTTGGTGTGGATTATGGGCCGGTGGCATCATCGGGCCCTACTTCTTCAAAGACGACAATGGCCGGAACGTAACTGTGAATGGCGAGCGCTACCGTGCGATGATAACAAACTTTTTTTGCCAAAAATGGAAGAGCTGGACTTGGCTGACATGTGGTTTCAACAAGACGGTGCCACATGCCACACCGCACACGAAACAATGGCCCTATTGAGAGGCGAGTTTGGTGAACAGTTTTATCTCACGTTTGGGGCCCGTCAATTGGCCGCCTAGATCGTGTGATTTAACGCCGTTGGACTATTTCTTGCGGGGTCATGTTAAGGCTAATGTCTACAGGGATAAACCAGCAACGATTGACGCACTGGAAGCCAATATTGAAGCATTTATTCGTGAGATACCGGCCGATATGTTTGAGAGAGTGTGCCAAAATTGGACCTTGCGCATGGGCCATCTAAAGCGGAGCCGCGGCCAACATGTACATGAATAATCTTTAAACATTAAATTATATCGACCTTTCTATCGACTCAATAAAGATTTATCGTTTTTTCAAATTTTTTGTATTTTTTTTTGAAATCAAATCCTATACCTCTTAAAAAATCACCCGTTACAATACGTTTGACCTGCTTAGTTTGTTTTATGTAAAAATGGCATTTCGTTGTTGACGGAGATGCAAATTGGAGTTTCCAAATGTCCACGTTCCATTTATTTATTTACCTACGCACCTTGCCCCCCTGCCTGTTCCACATACCTTCTACAAACACTGCAAGTCCAATTCCTAGTATCTTCCCCGTCGTCCATCTTGCTGTAACTCGCACAGTCTTCGCAGACCCTTTGCGAGCACTCGGCGCAGGACCTGGCCTGGTCCAGCTGGTGACCTCTGAAGGCTTTCAGGCACACCCTGCAGTTGCCCCTTGCAGGTTCCTTGGGAGGGGCCTCGGGTTGCGTGACGGTCGTGCCTGCTCCGATGTCGGAAGTGGGGGAGTCCCCGGTGTCCAGCGGAACGATTGACGGACGAGGAGACATTTGTTGGTCACTGGAACAAAACAAAGTCGTCGACATCGACAGAACCAGACTCTTGTCATAGGAAATGGGTATTTTTTCCTTCAATTCTAAAGACAATATCTTTTTTGTGTTATCTTTAGATAAATTTACATTGCATTTATGGCAGAGCTGGAGGCATTTGCCGCCATATTGATAGAAGCGTTTAAAATAAAATTTTGCAGAGATGCCGCGCAGATGTGGAAAGGGACAACGTTGCCATATAATAGTTAGAAAATTGACCTTCTTGCATTTCATTGGTTACTTGTAAATTGATAAGAAATATCAAAATCAGCAGACGCTCGATAACGTAAACACGGGATAATGAAACACTTGCGCTAATGTAAACACAAACTTCGTTCTATAGGATCAAACGGAATGCGCGATAACGTAAACAATGTGTACGCTCGATAACGTAAACAACTCTCGGCGCACGGAAACAGCGCGACGGTAAAATGCTGAAGCCTCGATGATTTATGTCGGGCGTCGGGGAGTCCCCGATTTATGATGTAGAGTGTAGGGGATTCACCTCTGCGATAAAATACGACAAACTCGGTTAGTCGTATGATCGTTTAGGATACGTTTATACGTACGTATGTATTTCATTTTGAACTTAAGTGAATACATTGCACGCGTTAATATATTTTACGACTATGGCATCCACATCCTATAAAAGAAAGTGTTTAAAGTTGAGTGAGAAAGTGAAAATCATAGACGAAGTTGCACTAGGTGCGGGGTGACACAGTTAGCAAAAAAAATATGGAGTATCGAAAGCAACAATCTGTAAAATTACGCGTATGAAAACTCAAATTTTACAAAGAACGTGCAATACATTTGGAGGTCCGGGAAAAAGGAAAAACTTAAAAAAATGCGAAGGCACCTAAAATGGAAAATTCCCTGTATAAGTGGTTTTTAAAACAACGGGAAAATCATGTCCAGTTAGTGGCGAAGTACTTAAACAGAGAGCGAGACTGTTAAATGAAAAACTGAAAGAAACTGAAAATTTCGTAGCTAGTGATGGCTGGCTACAATGATTCAAAACAAGATGGAATTCGACTGCTGTCTATATCTGGTGAAAAATTATCAGCACAACCACAATTAGTGCAACCATTCAAAGAAAAATTGATGAAAACAATTACCGAGCTAGATTTAAGAATGGAACAAATTTACAACGCAGATGAAAGTGGCCTTTATT